CTTTCTTTCTTTCTTTCTTTCTTTCTTTCTTTCTTTCTTTCTTTCTTATTTATTTTTTATTTAACAATGTCATTCTTACTTTTCTTTTAACTAGACTTTCTTGTGGAGTCCGAGTGTTTCTTGTCTTGTCTTGTTCTCTTTTTCCCCTCTGGGGATTTTTTTGTTTTCTCTAAGGCATCACAATTCTAACTTTCTTTCACCATTCGATTAGATAGAATAACATCAAAGTCACTATGCAAACAAGGAGTGTGAACATTCCACTTTGATTAAAATGTAGAGTACAAAAGGCCAGAAATGGGAGAGATATACCAAATAAATTCCCTTTCTAGAATACATTTGAAACATTCTTGCCTTAGTAATGCTAATGAGAATTGTGTATAAGTATCTCCAGCAGTGAGATGCAAATAGATTTAAAGGCTCGATTTGGGTACTCTCAAGTTGCAAGGAAGAAACAGATAATCTAGCTATACACAATTCCTTTACATTGACCAGACTGACTTTGTGCTGAACACCCTTTAATTCTGTTTGTGAGTTTGATCTTCCATCCACTGAATTTCATTGCAAAGCTTTCATAGAATTTAGTGATGCAGCAACTGCCTCTGAAATAGCAAGTGCCAAGGCACACCTAACCCTGCCACGTGTTTCTGAAAAATCTCTGCAAACAGTAGATAAATAATGATAAAAATTCTTCCCAAATCTCAGTTCCTCACTTTTGCTTTGCGCATTGCTAACTCCAAAAGGTGCTCTGTGCTTATAAAATTGAGGATGAGAGAGGATCTGCTTCTTGGACGTACCATTTCTGGAGCATGAAAGGGCAGTGTTTGGATAACCAAAATGATGTTGCAATATGGAGCTACAATTTAAGTATGTTAGCAGAAGTAAAAATGATGTAGCGTTCCCACAAACTTCAGCGTGACAAACTGTGTCTGCATGTGAAGGAGAGTCACTAATGTGTAAGAAAGGCTGTGTTACTGCATTTCCACTATCTTTTTGACCTGTAAGTCATGAATCACAGACAAACATATTCATAACTGAGTTGTTACTGGATTCTTCAGAAAGAGCCCTAGAGTATAGCATCTACTTCATCTAAGACAATCAGCTTGTCTTGAAGGGAAAGGCTTTTTTGTGATTAAAGCTACTAGCATTTAACAATTAGAAATGTACCATTGTATCTGTTGAACAAGTATTGGTGACTTTTATGAAGGTACGCTTAAACAGTATCAGATTCTAATGCGATGAAAAACTTGGGTTGTGAATTTCCTTTTTTTCTGTCTTCAGCATTGATATTCATTCCCATACACTTTTCTTGCTACGTATTTCCAGTCTTTTTCTGTATAAAGGTCTAATTCCACTGGAAAAATCTAGAAAAAAGTCTAATCCTAGTGGAATTATCTCGAATGCATTCTCCTGTCTCATTGATGTATCTTTAGTTACCACTGTTGTGATCATTACTAAACAAGTTATAAGAAGTCTTTTGATACAAGATAGTGTTCTGCAGTGGAAAAAATATTTTGGAGCTGTCAAAGTTATTTTAGGAAAGAATTGTTAGCTCTTTGTTCTCAAATTCAGACATGAAAGTTTTCATTCTCTTGGTTTCTCCTTCTCTTTTTCCTTTCTGTTTTAAAATCATTTTTCTCCTGCTGCCTGTTTGAAAAAAATAAAATGAGTTCTAGAGTAAATTTTCCAGCATGGATGTGTCGTATTTCATCCCTGCATCAAAAGCAACCCAAAGGACAAATGTTGATTAATGAAGCAACCTTGGCCCAGCATACATTACACTGTGAGGCAATACAATCTCAAAGCCATGCAGAGGAGAAGGAGAGAAGGAGGCAATGCATGCTGACACCAACCTCTCTGAGAATAGATTTCCAAACAGAATGGAATTCTCTGAAACTGGAACGTTAGTGTGTCCTTCGGTGCAACAACTTAAAAATAGGTAGGAAACTTTGTGTTGTGGAGCCAGCTTCAGTTAGGAGTCAGAACAGACTGCTCAGAGTGCCAGGGTGAACGCAGGGAGGATGTGCTCATTCACTGTCTCTTGTTTTGCTTTAAGGACGGACTCACACCACTCCACTGTGCTGCAAGAAGTGGACATGACCAAGTTGTGGAGCTGCTTCTGGAACGAGGTGCCCCACTCCTTGCAAGGACCAAGGTGTGTGCCTTATTGGAAGAATATGTTAATGGCTCTATGTAACTTTACAAAGAATGTTTAATGTTACTGAAAGGATGAGGAAGAAGGACATTTCTGTTCTGTTAAAGGAAAGGTAGTAATGGGGAGAATGATCCAAAAATAAAACCTTCTTACCAAATTAAGGACTATCCTTTCCAAGTATGTGAAACAGTATACACTTCATTACTAAATCCAGACTAAAAGCAATGCAGAGTGCAATTGAAATCACTTTACTTTTGTGGCTTTTTACAGCTATAGAACACAAAGATGTAAAAACTGTGTCAGTGACTCCTAAGAGATGATTTGTGGTAAATATTTCCTGATTCTTGACCTGTAATTTTCATGGACTATTTCATACTTGGAAAGTTATTTTAGTGTGTGTTTTTACTGATATCTGAAAATAATGCATCTCAGATGAATGCATAGCTGTCTCTTTGGTCGGATTATTTAGAAAAAGGCACTTGTAGCTTAATAACAAACCCCGGTGAGCAGTACTTCAGAGTGCCTGACTAATGTCTGTGGTATCATTAATTGCAAAACGGTGCAATGGAGTATTGCAGTGAGATGCAATACTTGAGAGATCAAGATTAACGGGCAGTTGAAATATCATTTTCAGACCATGCATGCTTTACTGGGCCCTCAAACTTCCTCAAACATGGCTCTAAACAAGGATAATTACTGTACTCAGAGCCATTGTTATCCATAATAGAGACCAAAGGTTTTCTCTTGGTAATCTTCTGGGGAGATCTTATCACTGGGTTTCATGCACATCAAATACATCAAGTAAGGATGTGCTCAAGCTGTATATCCCTTTACAGCACCAGGTAGTAGGTATAATCTCTTTATACAGGAAGAATCCACATTGAGATGTTAAATAAGTTCCTTAGCACTTTACTGGTCCCTTTGGTGGGAGAACAAATCCTATCTGTTAATGCCTTTACATCACTAAATGGTAGAAGGCTGTCATAGAACAGACCCTACCCATATGTTGTGTGTCCTTCAGGAAGGATTCCCAGGTGTTTGTGTTCAAAGGCAGATTTTGTCAGCCAGGAGAAAATATCAGGGTTGCACTGGCAGCATCTCAACAGAATATTGAGCAGAGTAGAACTGTTTCTTTAAATATCCCTGTATTTGCTGGAAGGGCAAGGGTGGCTACAGCCTTCCAGACTGTAGGTCAGATGCAGCTCCTTTTCTGTGGTGAGGGTATTCTGCAAAGTCATGTCAGCTTTCTTTGACTATGTGCCACTATCTGAGTGAGAGATGCTAGAAGTTACCATTCTGTTTTCTTTTGCCACAGAATGGGCTCTCCCCACTTCACATGGCGGCCCAGGGGGACCACGTGGAATGCGTCAAACATCTCCTGCAGCACAAAGCTCCTGTGGATGATGTCACGCTGGACTACCTGACTGCCCTCCACGTAGCTGCACACTGTGGCCACTATCGTGTCACCAAGCTCCTCCTGGACAAGAGAGCAAATCCCAATGCTCGTGCCCTGGTAAATCTGTCACACTTGTGTCATGTAACAAACCTACCAAGGGGACGTGAGTAGCCCTTACTAGGAAAGCAAAGTGAAAGCTGCCAACAGACTCCAGCAACCCTGAATAGCTGCAGTCAAAACAGTGATTGTCACAACCTAGGACTGGGTTTACTGCCAGATTACTGATTGCCAGTATTATATCTTGCATCATTAGGCCTGTGCCAAGTGGCTGTAGTTTTAGGTCTGATAGCTCTATGGAGTACCTAAAACCATTTGTAAGTGATGGTAACTTACACATTGGTATTTTGTTGAATTAATAATTTATTTCTTCATATTATGCTACATGATACACAGGACACTTTTAAAGGCTTTCAATTGAGTCATTAAGCTAATGGGCACAGAGAAAATACGTAAAAAAAGCTAGAATTTCTATGTTTATAAAATGTCTATATTTATCAAATTATAACAAATTATGATGTCCCTTGTATTAGGTGCCATGTTTCTTCCTTTTTAAAAAACAGTTCTGATGCTTACATGAAAACAGGTACGATTCTTTTCACTCGCTGTGCAAACCATTATCTCTTGGGAGAAAAACATCACATTTGTCTTCAGAAATTAAAAAAATAACTTTAAAGAGTCTGAACTATCCAAACTTGCACAAGACTTTCTCTAATTGGAAGTGTTCCCATGAACTGTTCGCTGGAAGAGCCTGAAATACCAATAAATTGCATATGATGAGGGAAAGAATGAGACTGTGAGCACTTGACACCAATGCATGACAAGTACTCTGCCATTGCCTGCTGTATTCAGTGCTTCCACAGTCTTTTTGCTGCAGTCCCCTCTGATATCTTCCTCAGCTTCTTGCCTTGAATGTGTACTTTTCTTTCTGTGATAGCTTCTGCATCCCCAAGGAATTTATACTTCCCTGCCTCTTTGCACATCACTCGTGGCCTCTCTATACATCAAATCTCATAATCCCTCTTTCTTCTTCTTATGTTTTTCTTCCTTGGTATTTCCCATTATCATTTTCACTTTGCTGATCTTCTTCAATGGTGTTTTTCATCCTGATTTCTAGTTTTTCTTTTCACCAGTCTCCTGATAATCTTTAGCTGTACTTTCCTCAGCTGCCCACACAGACACACTATATGCTAGCCTCCGCATCTTTCTTCTTCCCTTCCATGACAAGAATATACCTTCTGTTCCTCCCTTCCTGAGAAATATCTATCCTGGAAGGAAAGGAGTACACCCTCAGGCTACTGCCTCTCTGCTCTCCTACTTCCAGAGTGTTGTTTTTCTTCTCTCTCATTTTCCCCCACAGTAGGGACTTGTCACCACTGGCTTGTTTATAGTATTTAATACATTCAGAATGCTCATCATTTTTGTTAGTGAAGTTTTTTCAGTTTTTTCCTGACTCTCATTCAAACTGTTTCTCACTTAAATAGCAAAGCTAAATAAACTCAGGCAGTAGAATTAAGTGGAAAAAATGGAAACTTCTGAAGCAGTAAAAGTTCTAACGAAATATATTGAAAGATGTAATGCAGGAGCCTAGAATATATGACGGTTTTGATTACTTCTTAAGAAACTGGGGAAGGTTATTTGTGATATTTAGCAGAGCGTCCTGTGTTGGAAGAAGTTTTATAAATTACTCATTTTGTACTATATTAAAAAAAATCATTAATATTTGCAAAATGTTGTGGGGATACAAGCACCTCATGAGTTCTTAGCTTTTTCAATTTTTGTACTCCTTAAAGTTCCTTCAAAACAACTGGTAATTAACATTTCTCTTAACAGAAGCTGACTGTCATGTGTCTCTTTCTACAAGCTAAGTTATTTACTACTAGTTGAGTGTTTCTCAGTACTGATCCTTTTTATTAGAAAATAGAGCATGTAGTTGACATTGTTTAAAAATATATATATATATCTGTGCTTTTCACTAAAATGTTCACGTGCAGTGAATAATGTGTTTGCTTAACTTTAGACACACACCCTGTGTTAGCAATGCATAAAAACAGCTTGAAGTCAAAGCATGTATTACACACACAATGTGAAGACATGCTTTGTTGAAAAAGCCCCAGTTTTACTGAATAAACATTTTGAAAGAAATGAATATCTACTGAGGGTAAGCAAAACACTATAACTACTGTCTCGCAGTTTAAAGTTCTAGGCTGCAACTCTGGTTTAAGATATTCCCTCCTCTACTCCTCATTCTCTCCTGTTCCTGCTCCTTCCCATTAAATTTTAACCCAGATACCGAGGGTAAAGAATTGGTATTGTGAAACCAAAGCTGGAATAGTGGTATTAATATAACACACTTAAAATGTGCACACACGCTTAAAAATGAATACAGTATACTGCAGGTTGATTTGTAAATACTAAATTAATATGCATAGATACTTAGTTTATAAGCTTACAGAATAAAGAAAAAAAAAAAAAAAAGATGGAATCTGGTAGAAATACTCTGTTCCGTTCTTAGAAAGGTATAGTATGTGCTTTATACATCTCAGAAGACCCTAACTGATTTCAAAGTTATTCTTACACATATATATGTGCAGTCTTTGGAACCGCATACATGCATGCACATGGGCATAACTTTGTGACTCAGAACGGGCACATCTGTATTTGGTTTTGAGAGATCTAAGTTCAGTTTCTCTCCATTGCTAGAGAAGAAAGCAGCAGCACTGCTTTGTTCTCCTTGAGGCTCCTGGGAGATTTCTGTAATTCATAACCTCTTCTGCTTAAAGAACAATTGCTTCTACTACTCTAACACTTCTGCTCCCAGTGTGCCAGCATGGAGCTATGTAGAAAGTGTAGCTGCATGTTTTTAACTAACATGACTGTCTTTTGCACAGAATGGTTTTACTCCACTGCACATTGCCTGCAAGAAAAATCGCATCAAAGTCATGGAACTCCTGGTGAAATATGGGGCTTCAATCCAGGCTATAACGGAGGTAGAAAAATGTTTCATACCCTGAAGAAACATTCCTTCTCTTTCTCCTTTTGTGCTTCTTTTTTTCTCTTTCCTGTCATGCCCCACCTTCGCTTATGTTTATTTAAACAAAGAAGCCCCTCCCCTATGCTCGTGCAGAGGAGTAAAACTGCTCTTGCTTTGTTTCGCAGTCGGGCCTCACACCAATACATGTGGCTGCATTTATGGGCCACTTGAACATAGTCCTCCTTCTGCTGCAGAACGGAGCCTCTCCCGATGTCACTAACATTGTGAGTATGGCTTTGACTAGAATCATCTGTGTGATGCTCGCTACAAAAAGGTCCATGTGGTGCAAACAAAGGTCACATTTTAATGATACTTCATTACTTTATTCTCTGTTAGGACAAATTATGCTAGCACTTTTCCCAAACAATGAAGAGGGGAAAATAGCTACTGTATAGGCATTGTAAGCCACTTTTGGTTTTGTGTACTCTCCTGCAATGCCTGAGCAGATAAAATTCCCTTAAAAACAGTCAAAGCTCGCCAAATACATTGCAAGCTGATTATAAACCAAGTCAATTCAGAATGATGAAATTTATCTCTAAGAGACTCTAACTTCTACTTGCATAGCCTTGCTGGCCATAATGAAATTGTGTCATTTGTATTAATAAAAGGGTATTAAATGCTCAAACCTAATTAAACAAGAAGTTAAAATATTAAATTCAAGGTGTTCCTTTTATAGAGGAAGTTCTAGGGACTAGTGCCTTGTGAAAGAACATATTTAAACTTGGAAAATGTGACCTTTGGGGGATAACTAAATGCAGAACCTGACTTATCATAGAATAATGGATGTGTTTGTATACCAATACCGAGTTACCAAGAATAATAACCATAAAAAGAATGTGATGATTTCCTAAGTTGTATTTCATAGATATCTTACTGTTTGAATTTGTCATTATAAATATTTAATTTCTGACTATCTGCTCATTAAAAGCAGCTCTTTACCAGTAATGTTATAAAAAAGTGTTCCCAAGAAGAAAATAACAAGAAAAAGTTATTAATTCAGGTACGCTTATTTATTAGTTTTTCCTGTCCAGAAAAATCTTATATGGAGCCTAGTGACAGCTTTATGCACACCAAGCTGTTTGTCTGAATCATTAGGACAGATTCTTCTTGATAAAACATTTTACTGGTTTCTATTTCTTGTAAAAGCAATCTGTACATAAAACCTTTATTGATGAGACAGAAGCTAACAAGAAATTGTTGTGGAAACAATTTAAAATACTGTGGTGGTGTTGCTGGACATATTTATGCAAAGTTTAACACTTTACAGTTTGTGCTACATAGGTATCTTGGCTTTTACTTGGTAAGCAGAAGTCCCCTGCTGGATTACTAAGTGTTTCCAAATGCTGAATTGTGTTGTTAACTCAGGTATAAAAGGGTGTTTGTAGAAACTTGATCATTGGATTGTGAGAAACGTAAAAATTATTCTCATTTTGAACAGTTCATTCTTCAGGTAATAATATTTACGTAGATTCTGCATTATGATTTGTAACAGAGGCTGTGAGATTTTGTTTGCTGCCTACTTACTAATCACAGATGGTGATCCAACATTAATTTTAAATTGATCATTGGCCAATCAACTACATGTCCAGAGGGTTTGAGTTCATAATAGGAAGCAAACTCAGGTTACTTCTTTTTGCCATGTCTATGCAGAAGGTTGAGAAGACCTGATCTCTGACACAGAAGAACTTCACAATAGTGTTCAGTTTGGCAGTTTAACTCGACAGTCACAGTAATAACATATAGTCCAGCTCTATAGTAAGAAGGAAAAAAAACTCTTAACAGATAGAAATGATCAGTCCTGCTGTGTTGTCATACTTAACAGATATATGCAGAACTGTCCCAGCGCCTAATGTATCAGATACCAGTGAGCTGCACAGGGACTATTTTAGTCCACTTTATGACACTGAGCTCAGAAAATACTGAACTGTGCAAAATTCAGCTTGAAATGCCATCATCAAGGAGTAGTCACTTTCAGTGTTTTTTTGCAAACCTATGCAGAAAGTAAATGCTTCAAATGTGTCACCTATACTTCGTTATCATGATCTGAAATTCAACATCACTCCAGTTAGCCTTCCAGAATTTCATATGCTCCTTCAAATTCTGTTTGCTGTAGAAGGCTTGAAGCAAGATTCATTTCATAGCCTACAGACAGATCTGTGCTGCTGAGCACAGATTTTACACGTTTCATATGCTGGCTCAGTTGTGCACAGCTGCTGCAAGGCATTTTAAAGCTGCCAGCTCCACACAGTGTGCAGAAAGAGACCATCTGGAGAAAAATTTGCTTCCATTTTGAGGCTTGTGTGCCTCACAATCCCTAGAAAGAGACAGGTTCATTGTACAATTGCACAGAGAGATAATGTTCAGTGTACATCAGCAGAAGCTGATGCACCTGTATATAAAAACCTGAGGAACATATGTGACCAGGCAGGTGTAAAATGTAGAATACTGTATAAATAATTTTTCTCCAGGATTGCCGAATTTGCAAACCATAAACTACCCAGGCTTGGCACATGTATGCATGCACTGTTCTCAGCTCCCTGTCTCAGCTGGCAGAAATGCAGAGCTGTATTTCTTCATGGAGGCTTAAAACATTGAAATTTTTTTACTTTTCTGCAGCGTGGAGAAACTGCACTGCACATGGCAGCACGTGCCGGGCAGGTGGAAGTAGTTCGTTGTCTCCTGAGAAATGGGGCCCTAGTTGACGCTCGAGCCAGGGTAGGTGTTTTGCTCACAGGTTTTTTTTTGCTTTTTCTTACTAAAAATTATCGCTGAAACAGGGAACCAAGGGAGAATTAATTTCATTTTTATATAATCTGTGAATTCAACACTAAACAAATCTTGAACAGTTCCAAAAGCAGCAATGTATTTCTGTGTGGATGTTTCAAATAGAATGTGTGCAGTGGGTTGACCCTGCCTGGCTAGTCGTTCTGGCTGTCTTCATGCCATTGCTTGTTCTTTCCTTGTGGGATCAGGGTAAACAATCAAAAGGTAAAAAGTGATTGAAACTCTTGGGTTGAGATAAAAGCAGTTAATAAGTGAAGGAAGAGGGAAAAAAATAACAGCAGAACAGTATAAACACAGAACAAAACAAGCACTCCCCCCGTTGCGAGTGACGCAAAGGCAATCACTCACCACCTCCCACAAGCAGATTGGTGCTCAGCCTGTCTCCAAGCAACAGCTTTTTTGGAAAAGCTCACCCTCTAGTTTTATTGCTAGGTATGACATTACAGGGTATGGATTATCTTCTTGGTCCATTCAGATCAGCTGTCCTGGCTGTGTCACCTTCCAGCTAAGAAGGCCTTGACACTGTGCAAGCACTGCTCAGCAATACCTAAACCACTGGTGTGTTAGCAATCCCATTTTGGTCATAAATCTAAAACACAGCACCATATGAGCTGCTAGAAGAGAATTACCCCCAGTCCCAGGCAGACTCTATACAATATGCCTGATTCAGACCAGCAGCAGCTGTTCCATCTAAGTGAGAAGGTATACAGCAATATCCTAAATCCAAACATCAGGCATTCTGATAGCAGTTAGAACTAGATTATGAAAACATAAATCATTTTCAGAGCAAGGTAGCCGATGTATAACAAATTAAAAACACAAAAGAGAGCAAGTGAGGGGGGAGCTATGCGTCATCTTACTGAGACAAGAAAAATGATGTTTTTCTTTATGTTACTTTCTGTTACAAGCTGAATCTCATCTGAAAAATTAACCTGCCCTCTTCTACTGCTTTTTTGTGCTGTTGCTTTTTAGTATTTTTCCAAGACAAATGCATAGAAATGTTTATTAATGTAAAACATGATATTGGGTTCAGAATAGTTCTACCTGCTCTAATTGTCTACTTGATTTGAGTTGTAGGAAGAACAGACTCCACTGCACATTGCCTCTCGCTTGGGTAAAACAGAGATTGTCCAGCTTCTGCTACAGCACATGGCCCATCCTGATGCTGCAACAACTAATGGATACACTCCACTGCACATCTCTGCCAGAGAGGGACAAGTTGATGTTGCATCAGTTCTCCTAGAGGCAGGTGCCTCACACTCCATGTCCACCAAAGTAAGTCAGAACACTTCGTGACTGTACTCTAGTAATATAAGCAGTGTATGCTTGACCATGCCTGTTTCATGAGGGATGTGCTTTCGCTCTGAGAAACTGAGCTACTCTGCATCTTGTTTTGTTCCTATTTAATCAACAGCAATCCGGTAAACTGAAGTAATGTATTAGGCATTGATTGAGTTTGGACAGTTTTTACTGTCATCCGAAGTAGAGAGTTTGGATCCTACTGAAGGTCATGATAAATAATGGCTATAACAAGCTTAAAATGTAAATGAGGTCCTTCTATATAACTCTTTGCCATTGTGTTATGAACAGGACTTTTGTTGCCAAAATTTTCAAACTAGAAAGTGCAGATTTGAGGGAAGGGAGCAAATTATTATTATTTTTCCTAATGAACAAGTCTGTTTATTTTTCAATACCTTGTTTATTTAAACAGTAAAATAATTATGTCTATACTAAATGAAAGGATTGTTCCTAAATGTTTGTTTATACAATTCAGTATCTGTCCAGTCTCATCTAATTCCGAATTTATTTTCAGCAGTTCTGTAAGCAAGATATCACATGACCCAATGGGCCATTTTTCTAAACTTATAAAAGAAATAGTCTGTGGAATATTATTGTTTTGTTAGCAAAAAATGGTTACCAATACATTCCTAACAGAGTGCTAAAAATATAAGAAAATAGATACTGTGACTAGAATTATGTGCCAAGGTATTTCTTTCTAATGTATTACATGTGATTAAATAGTACCTCTGATTTGACAGTGGGAGCTTAAAATGTATTTTTGAAAAATTTGATGTTTTCTGGGGTTTAGAGGACTAAAGCAGCAATTCTGAAATTGTGATCTATGGATTACTAGGCATGCCTGCTGTTGTTCTTTTATCTGTCTGTTGAATCACATAAAAGTGGCTAAAAATACACTAAATACTTTCTCAGTTTTCCATACTGTTTAGTGACATTTGCTTTTAGTATTGCAGAAACATTCTATAATTATGAATACGGGAAAATGTAATCCTCCAGATAATCTTTCTACAAAACTTTGATTCATGAGCTGGAAATGTATGAGAGTTCCTTACATAAACTCCTGTTGAGGTGGGATTTCTGGAACAAGTTGATGATGATAAGCATTACGCATCGTTTACGTGTCATGCAAATAGGTATTTGCAGCTACCTGGAATTACTGTCAGAACAACAGTGTAGTCTGCCACCTACTGTTTTCCTTATCAGCGTGATTTTTAAAACTGAAAGAGCAGATGAACCATCTAACCATCTAAACCATGAAGCATTAGTTTTTCACAGACTTTGTGCATCACTGATATGCGTTACTAAAATAAATAGAAAAGTATTCCTTCAAAAATGCAAGATTTTTGTCATGCCAGTATGATGTGTTTCCAGAAGCACTGCTATTGAGTCAGGCAGTGACGTTTTTAGCTGAAGTTCTGAGGCTCCAGCAGAGACTGTTGTTAATAAAAAAAAAAAAAAAAAAGACCAAGTTGAAATTCTTCAACAAGCTCTCTAAAGAACGAACACAAAGTTTGGAGCTTTTCTTGCTGAATTTAGTTGGTGTTTTATTGTTACTAGCACCAATTGACACAGGAAATATTTCTACAACTCTTATCATAAAGCTAAAAAAAAATAATAATAGAGCTGGTCTGGAATAGAAATTTGAACAAGTGCCTTCCTTGCTCACATAGTGTTATGTTGCTAGTAGAATCTGTATCAGATAAACCATATGCTAATCTGCCATCACATCCATGGGAAAGAATAATGAAAGGGGAAAACTTATTTTGTATTTCATGGTTATCAAAATGCTTTGAAGAGATGATGCTATTTCACCATTAGGCTATTGATTCTGGCACCTTGAGTATAGGTCAAGGAATTACCAACTTGTTTAATAACATAGCCCTCGAAAGATAGGTGTCTGCATGCTTTTTAACACAAACATTTGCTTTTGTCTCCTGAAATTTTTCAGAAGGGATTCACGCCTTTGCATGTGGCAGCCAAATATGGGAGCCTAGAAGTGGCAAAGCTCCTCCTGCAGCGTCGTGCCTCTCCTGATTCAGCCGGCAAGGTACTAAGCAGAAAGTAACAAAAATTAGCAGCATTTTGGGTTCTTACTTGGCGCAATGTGCGTACAAGGGAAGCCTGCAGCCACTTTCATATGGTGGTGTTAGCTTAAGATCACGCCCTCCCAAGGCTGTCGGTTGTGTCTGATAGCGTTGGAGGCTATGGTGCTGAGCACTGGGTTTAGGTTCCCTAGAGGAGGGTTATGCAATGGGCAGCTCAGAGGGCAAAGACGTTTTGGTGGCTCCAAAAATACCAATTTCATAGGAATGTCCAAACTGTAGAAATCGTAATTCAAAAACCTGGGGGTAAGACCATTTTTTTGCTCCGTGCTGTGGGAACTGATTCTCACAGGGTTGGGGGAGATGGAAACCACACTGGTGGCTGCATCAAGCAGGGCCACCCAGGCTCCCCCTCAGCTGCTCTTCTCTGCATTAAACAGCCACTGCCCGTGACTTCTGGTCACTAACATTAACCACCGCCCCGCACTCGGGGTCCCGCTGGTACCCTCCCGCACTAACGCCCCTAACCGCCCTTACAGAACGGCCTCACGCCCCTGCACGTGGCGGCCCATTACGACAACCAGAAGGTGGCGCTGCTGTTGCTGGAGAAGGGCGCCTCGCCCCACGTGACCGCCAAGGTGAGCTCTGCCCCAACTGCTCGTGCAGTCACAGCGTCGCTGAGGTTGGAAGGCACTGTTAAGATTTTCCGGTCCAACTGTCTGCTCATCGCTACACTAAACCACGTCCCTTAGTGCCACCGCTACCCTTTCCTTGAGCACCTCCAGGGTGGTGACTCCACCAGTTCCCAGGGCAGCCTGTTCCAATACCTCACCACTCATTCTGAAAGAATTCTTCCTAATATCCATCCTGAACTTTTCCTGGCACAACCTGAGGCCGTTCCCTCTCATCCTGTCACTGTTACATGGGAGAAGAGGCCAATCCCTACTTCACCATGACATCCCTTTGAGAGTTGTTGAGAGCCATGAGATCTCCCCTGAGCCTCCTCTTCTCTAGACTCAACAATCCCAGCTCCCTCAGCTGTTCCCCATAAGACTTGTGCTCCAGACCCCTCACCAGCTTAATTGCTCTTCTCTGGACGCTCCAGGGCCTCAATGTCTTTCTTGTAGTGAGGGACCCAAAACTGAGCACAGCACTTAAGGTACAGCCTCACCAGTGCTGAACACAGAGGGATGATCAACTCCCTGCTCCTGCTGGATGCGCTATTTCTGATACAAGCCAGGATGCCTTGGCCTTCTCAGTCACCTGGGCTGTTTGCCAACTCATGTTCAGCCAAAACCCCCCAATCCTTTGCTCCCACAAAGCCTTCCAGTCACTCTGCCCCACGCCTGTAGTGTTGCACTGAGTTGTTGCAACCTAAGTGCCAGACCTGACATTTGGTCTTGTTGAACTTCATCCCACTGTCCTCATGCCAGCGATCAGTCTGTCCAGGTCCCCCAGGCCTTTCTTCCCTCAGGTGGATCAGTATATCCTCCCAGCTTGGTGTCGTCTGCAAATTTACTGAGGGTGCATTCAATCCTCTCATCCAGATCATCAGCAAAGTTATTAAACAGGACTAGCCCTAATACTGACCCCTGAGGAGCACCTCTAGTGACTGGTCACCAGCTGGATTGACCTCTATTCACCACCATTTTTGGGGCCTTGACATCCAGCCAGGTTTTTACTTACTGAAAAAGTACACATGTCTAAGCCCCCCTTCCTTCTTTCCTCTCTCCTTCCTACCCTTTCTTCCCGCTGCTTTTCTCTCTGTTTCATGGAGAGCAGGAGGCAGCACCATGTCTAACACCCTCATGAGAGGGCAGCCTGGCCACAACCTCCTTTGGTACTGTAGCCAGTGCTAGTTCCATGTGGGAAGTTTCAATTCAATGTAAATTTAAACAAAAACAAACAAAGCAACAACAACAAACCGCAAACAAACAAACAGGGTGTGGATGTGACTGAGTGTTGGAACAGGTTGTTTACAGGGATGTGGGATCCTTGGAAGTGGTAAAAATGTGACTAGGCCAGACCCTGAGCAATCTCATATGAATAACCACCCAACTGCACAAATTATTGTTCTTCCAAACCTTTCCTGAAAAAGAGCTACATATGTGTATGCATGCATATTTGTGCCTCTCTTTGCTCATTTTATGTTTGTGAGTTTGAGTCACAGTTGGAGCTTACTTCAGTGTTCTGTAATATTGCAAACAACATGTATATTATGACCACATACGTGCAGAATTCATTCTGGGATTGGAAATGGTGTTATGATTTCACAGTGTTAGGCAAAGGCTACCAAAAGGGAAGAATAATGAGAATTTGTGCTGTCTTCAGTGTGTTTTGTCCTGTAAGGGACTGCTGTTTTACATGCTTTCTAGAAAATGGGGCCCATCCTTGAATTATTAGTGATTATATGAGAACTTTTTACATTGATGTGCAAGAAAGGTGGCAAAAGCTACAGTTGCCATTGGATAGCTTGGTGAAGCTCCCTTTTAAGAAGATATAGACCAACCAACATCTCCACAGAGACTGTCTGATGTAATCTATTCTCATGATATTCTGTGATTCTAAATCTTCCCACTTAGTGCATTCTAAAGCAATTAAAGGTGGGAAGTTGTCTTGTTCCCAGAGTAGCAATAATGTCTTTCTGCTTTGCTTAAATGGTCAATTTGATCAGAATAACATTATTCCATATTACTGGTTCCAGCCAGAACTATGTCTCATGTATCAAAATTCCTTATCCAGACACATCTTTACCCATGCAGTCCTAAAACACATAATGTAATGAAGAGTGTGCATGCATTGCTTGTCACAGAGAGCATCACTCAAAAGTGAATATTTACAACATATGATATTCAAAATATAGGTTTCAAATGCAGGGAAATTTGAAGTTATCAGATTAAGAAGTCCTGTCTGACCTAGCAAGAGCCTGCTTTTTCTAGTTGGTATGGACAAAATAATAGATTGCAAAAGCATGCCTGATATTGAAAATATATTGGACTCCCAACTCTAATCATAAGGAGTAACTGAAAAAAACATAGTTCTAAGATGTCTGACTTTTTAGGCTTGTATTAATGTTACTTTTGTTTTGTTTCCTAACCTGTGTTAGAATGGATACACCCCTCTACACATTGCTGCCAAGAAAAATCAGATGCAGATAGCTACCACGCTGTTGAACTATGGGGCTGAGACCAACATTTTGACCAAACAGGGAGTGACGCCACTTCATTTAGCCTCCCAAGAAGGTCACACAGACATGGTGACATTGCTTTTGGAGAAAGGTTCCAATATCCATGTGGCAACAAAGGTAACTCACAGCTGAAGACAAAGTGCTATCTATGTCAAGAGTATCCAGGAAAATACAATACACAGTGTGGGAATGAGGTCATGTCTCAGAAATTCTCCACTTCCTTGTATGCATATTCGAGTGTCTGCAGAAGTGACAAGGGTGGGCAAACAGTAGAAATGAGGAGAGGATACATAGGAATGGCAGACAGATTGATCAGTTAACCTGTATTGTGTAATTAATAACTTTACTGGGTAGCCCACTAGAGGAGCTGCAGCTGTTTGCTGTGACCAGAGAAAAATGATGTACCACCTGCTCTGGTGGAGAGGGAATGGGACAAAAGAGGCTAGATAAAATGGTTTCTGAGGCATTCAGAAAGGTGAGACAGCTGCATTTTTGTTGTGTTGCAACCTTGCCATCTATTAGCTGTGTCCTCATGGAGATAGGCATGTTCCTCAAGTTTTACATTAGATCCAAAGGATGAGAAATGTAAAATTCTGGAGTTTGCGGGTCTGTGGGTTGATTTAATTACATGTAACAGAAACCTGAGAGCTGCAGTTCAAAATAATTTAGTGCTAGCAAAGGCTCTTTATTATCATATATCTTACTCTTTAGCCATCTTGCCAAGGTTAGGAAAAGAGGGACAAATAACTTAACAACAGTATTAGTGGAGTAGTGAGCGGGAAAAAAAACCTCCTCTGGAGGATCTGTCCAATCCTTTGGATTCTCCTATGGTTATACTTGATGGGCCTACATAGAAGATAAGTGTAGAGAAAACCTATATTTTCACAGGTCACCAGATTTATACAGGCATATACATAAATTTTATTTACCTTAAATTGAAAGCCTGTAGTTTTTGTTCATACGAGTGAAAATGAATGGCTCAAGTCTCTCATGATCTAGCATTAATATAATATGCTATATAACCAGTAAGAAACAGTGTAGTTTTCATTTCTCTCAAAAAGTTTATTCCTTTCCTTGTTCGTGGCCAAGCACCATGTGTGATCACAGTGAGCTTTCAGTTAATTACTATATCTGTTTCCTTGGCATCTTTGAGTGAGATCTGTTTCGGGATTAGTTTCTTCATTCGGACTCTTGCCTGCTGTTGTTAAGGTTCCCTCTCCCATCTGAGTGGGAGGCACAGCACGCTAATTTATTAATGGGACTCTCAGCTTCCTTAGTGACATTATACTATAAAATCCAAGTGTGATCATTGATGCCTGAAACATTTACTGTGTCATTACGGTGATGTAATTTCTGTGGAGCTATTTGTCCAGCCAGACAAAAGAAGCATCAACTCTACTTTGTTTAAAACATATATTTAGAAGTTATAGTTAGAGTCTCTCCATCTTTTAAAGATAAGCGAGAAAGGCTAGATTTGTAACCTGAAGAAGGTTTTATTTATTTATTCATTTATATTATGTATTCCATTTCCAGACTGGACTGACGTCCTTACACCTTGCAGCTCAAGAGGATAAAGTGAATGTAGCTGAAATACTCACAAAACATGGTGCAAACCAAGATGCTCAGACAAAGGTAAATCATTTAGTGGCTACTTGTCTCCAGTGTGCCAAAGGATGCTATCATCATAAAGGAATATTCCACTGAGCTTGCAGTTTTATTTCTATATTCTCTTGTAGCTTGGTTATACTCCTTTAATTGTGGCATGTCACTATGGAAACATCAAAATGGTGAATTTTCTTCTCAAGGAGGGAGCAAATGTCAATGCTAAAACAAAGGTAAATAATTTTGCATTGCTTTCTTGTGCTCTTAATGTGAACTTGTTTATCAAATGCTACTGATACATACCACTAAGTACCTTTTTCATTAGGAAACTGTAATTATTGAGTAGTCGATATCAACATTTTTTGATCTGTGGCTATAGTGGAATGCATTGTGTCTGCTGCATCACCTTTTTCAATGTTCACAAAAGAGAAGTCAGATAACTCTTTGGGATTATGTAAGGGAATTGGTATTTTTGTGTGTGTGTTTTGTTGTTTTCTCCTTCTTTTCATTTGCAACTAACAAGTTTATTTCTGATTTCATTCACACATGGCTTCAGTGTAATGCTGATGTGTTGCCAAACTACAATTCAGAAACTGGGTGATTCCAGATTCTCTCTGATCTGTTGGGAGAAGAGTGGGAAAAATTACTCACAATCAAAGCATGTGTGACATGACTTTGATAAAGGAAACATCAACAGTGGGAGAATGCATCTTACTCAGGACAAGTTTGTTTCTGTTTTGTTTGTTTTCTTTGATGGGGAGCTGGTTATGCTATTATCAGCTGATTCTGCTGAAGTGGAATGTAGCCAAATACTGAGTGTAATCCACAGGCTTTAGCAATTTTTTTCCAATGTAAAACTGGTGTACATAACAAAAAAAATGTCATGCCTGTGGATCAAGAAGTTTATATCTCCTGAGTATACAAAAACAGAGGTTCTGGTGACTACATCAATGTATTGCACCAAAGATGTTATCACATCACTCTTATCCAGGAAGTGAAGGCTACCCTGGAGCTGGTAGTCTTCAGCATAGTTAAAGCTGATGTCAGGCAATAGCTTATTGGTATCTCTTGGGATCAGTATGAAAAAGTCTGTTGATATTGCTGATGAATGTACTTAGTATTTGTAAAATCCATACCAGATCATAAGCTCCTGGTCATTCTGGCCAGCTTTTCTGTTCCCAGCTGTCATCTATGAGATGGATTCATTTGTCTGAGTATGACTTTTTCACTACAGCAGTCACTGTCAGCAAGAAAAGAAGCAAGTAGCAGAGCCAATTAAAAAAAATATATATATATGCTCACCCATTTTTCTTTAAATCACCCCAAATCAATGGGTAAAAAACAGAGATTCCAAAAGAACTGGCAACACTACTAGAAAAACAGCTGATAAGAATTAATAAAGCAGACATTAGCAGGATCCAAATGGTAGCTGCCAAAACATTCAGCTGAGGTGTTTGAAGGCTAACTAAAGGGACATAACCTACTTGCATGTTTAGTGTTAAGCCCCACTCTGGGTATTTGGGGCCACTGGACCAGATTCTGACACTAGTTCCCTCAGGTGTTCCTCTTATATAGAAAAATTTCATTCAAGTACGCAAGTATGGCAGTATGGGGCAGTGATTCTCCAAGTCTCATGTCAAGGGACCAATAAAAATACGGGCAATCTGTCAGCCATTACTGTGGACTCAGTCTAAAGAGCGAATCAATCCTGGCTGGATTCAGGATAGGCATGTTACAGAATAAATTACCTCTAGTGCCTCCAGGATGCTTTATGCCATCTCCAGTGAAAAATAATACTGCTGGGTTCTGTTTTTAAATGACTGCACTGATACTGAAGATAGTAGATTTTCTTTGCTATATGATTTACAGTAAAATTCCCCTTTAATTTCCTAGTCCATATGTGTATTCTGTAATTATGAGAACTGTATCTGTTCCAAAATATCACTGTTTAATTAGTAGCATAAAGCATATATTGAGTTGCGTAAGAGATAACTGAGTGTGCCTCTCAGAGTCTGCCCTCAGGCTGTAACTAAGTGTCACTGAAACTGACTTAGTGTTTTCTCACAATATAGTTTCCACTTGCTATCAAACCAATTTCAAGTATTTTGTGATGAATTGCTTGACTGGGTTTGCACAAAACCATCTCAAATCAACTAGCTGAAGTGCACTTTGGCTGTGATTCTGTATGGAGTAACACAGAATTAATCTCTGGAGCAGATATCTATGGAGTTAAGTGTATTTGTTAATACAGAAGTTGTGCACACATTTTTCTGAGTAATTACAGCTTGGCCAGGCCTTTTGAAGTCAAGATGAAGCTAACGTTGATTGACATTTTTGATAGATGCTCTTAGCTTTTTTTAAAAGCAAATGTTATCGAATCACTGCTGTTAAAAATTATATATCTTTACATTGTCTCAAATATTTCAAAGGCAAATCTTAGGCTTCCTGTAGGAAAATGAAGATCTGAGAAGGAGAGAATGTTCTTTGCTTCAGCTATGATTCCATGTGTCTAGTATGCAAATTATGCAAATCAAATTTTCTAATCTAATTGCTGGTGATTGTTTTTCTTCTTTATTTGCTTTTATGGTAACCACCATGGATTACAGAATGGGTACACTCCTCTCCACCAAGCTGCTCAACAAGGTCACACTCACATCATTAATGTCCTTCTCCAACACGGAGCTAAGCCCAATGCAATCACCACCGTAAGTGTGAAGTGCTTGTGGGAATTGTTTCTCTGGATAGTTCCTTTGTTTCTAGGGCTAAAGAGCAAACCTTTGATTTGGTGAAAGTTTTCTTCGTACATCTATTTGTCAGATGCGTAAATGTAATATTCCTTCTTCTTTTCATTATGCTCACAGGGCAGTTCATTTATAACTCACTGCAGTAAGCTAAATGTGAGATGAAGAAACTGCTTCCTGAGTTGCAGTGTCAGGTTGGCCATGCCTACTTGGTTTAATTGCCTTCTGTCTTGATACTTCTGTCTCAAAATTCATATATAGCAAGAATTTTTGTATGAAAATTAAGGGAAAATCAGAACCTGGGTATCTTTGAAATCCAAATTTCTATCCCTCTCTCCATTGGATCCCTTTTTACATTTTTTTAGTAAGTTCATTGGTGTTAATGCAAAGACCATCAGTAACTTCTGGCAAAGCCTTTTCTAAGGCCAGGTAGGAATGCAACTTTCCTGTTTCATATTGATGTTGTTATTGTCCTCTACTTGGACAGTGTTGAAAATGCATCCAGGAAGTTCAAAACACGTGTCCTTCCCCAGAGTTGCCCAGGTTACTATTATTCCAGCTGCGTGGAATAATCTTGTGTGAAGTAATCCAAGATAGCAGCAGTTTATGTGCCATGATACAAAATCTCAGTATCCAAGCTATGTATCAAAGATCCTAGACTGTGCTTATCGTCAAGCAAGAAACCCTTGCAGTCAACTTCTGGGACTGAAGGTTCTACTAGGCACCTTCAGTGTTCAGTCTTCTAGTTTGGGCTGTTAAGCCGACTCTTACCCAAATCCAAGGAGAGCCTCAAGGCTCTGCCCAGCAGTTTGCGTGCCTTTTCAGGTACTAGCTCTGTTCACGCATTGCTACTTTTAAGTTGACGTAAGAGAATTTCAACTTGCAGCAGCTGACTAGGGGATATGGGAGTGGGATACGAGACGTTACCGTCACTTACACATTAACAGTCATGTTATTTGTTCTGTGAAGATCCTTACCGGTACTTTTTGTGCTGCTAACTCGCAAACCCTACGTTGCTTTACAGTTGCTGAGGTAGTCTAACGCACAGGAACTTAAACTGTAGATAACTCAACCTGGTACTGAAGGAGAGAGAAGGCCTCGGGCTGATATTCTGCACACAGAGCAGCGGTACTGCAAGAGAAATCATTCTGTACAGTGGCTTTCCATGTCTCCCCTAGTAGGCCAGCATGTTGTTCTTTAATTCAAAATAATACAAAACAGTTCAAGGTGCAACTCTGTATGAAGAATCATGGAATATGCCCCTGCTCTCCACTCCCCACGCTGAGTATTGCAGGCCCACAAATTGCCACATCACACAGAGCCATGTGACTTAGAGCAGCCTCTGCAGACACTTAAGCTGAACTGGCTGCCAGTCATGTTGGTTAGTTCTGCTGGGAAATTATACCCTCCAAAGAATTGTGAATGATTTAGTGAGTTTCTGATACTTGAAGTATTTTTATTTTTTTTGTGTGTGAGAAGGTTCATTAATCTTGCTTCCTGTTGTGTCTGGCTTTTTGCTACAGGGGAAATGCTTCTTGAAATAAATTACCATGGACTCTATTTTGAGGCAGTTTGAGTAGAATTTTAAATGCAGCGAGACAGATGGCAATCTTAATTACTGTTCATTTAAAATGAAAACTTACACTCTAGGTTCATAAATTCGAATTAATAATACTTATTCTCAACCTATTTTAATGTTCTGTGTGATGAGCTGGAGATAAATACGCCTAAACAATAACTGAATTACCATTTCAATGTGTGTTTACTGAATAGCATGTATCTAATAGGCATGTATACTGCAAATAAGTTTATTTAAATGGAAAACAGTTTCCAACCCCCAAGCCTTAAATAGGTTTTCATGCTTGGTACATCATCAGCTTTTGTGTACTATTACAGCATGTAAAATTGAGTTGTAAAGAGGAATAGAATTGTATGTGGAGAATAGAGCCAGAATCTTGTATTCCTCAAAAAGGACTGCACCAGATAAAGCTTTAATAGTTTCAGCTAAAAGTGGAAGCCTAAGATTTTAATTTTTTTTTTCTTCAGAAGAGTCTCTCTCGTATAAAGCAGTTTATGCAAAATGAAACATGAACTTCTGCAGACGAGGCATTCTCTGCAGTAGAATTTGACCATCTGGGGGTTAAACCATAGCGCGCTTTTTTTCAAAATGTAGACTAGCAGGCGGATGTGTGTGTTGTGTTACCATGGTAACCAGAGCTATAGTCTTAAAGGAGTTGCAAAGACAGAGTCAGATGTAACAGTAAAAAAAAAAACAACAGTGATTTTCCTAGGCTGCGCCTTGTTTTGGATGGAAATGCTGGCTCATGCAGTGTTGAGAGTGATCTCATTGGTTCACATCACAATCCTCCCTCTCATTCCTCTCTCTCTCTTCCCTTCTCTTTTTCTCTTCAGAATGGTAACACTGCCTTAGCTATTGCTAGGCGTCTGGGATATATCTCAGTGGTCGATACGCTGAAGGTTGTTACGGAGGAGATTACTACCACCACAACTGTGAGTTTGTAGATGCATTAAAATGTCTCTGTTTTTTATTCAGAATGTTGTCTTTCTCTTCTGTGCTCAGATTCTGCACAAACCTGTTTTTATTTTCTGGTCCAAGTCCCCCTTTCTGTTTGATTTTTGCAAAAGTGCTGTAGTGCTTTCAGTATGTCTTTTAAGCATGTAGAAGTATGTGCGATACATTAGGTTTTACTGAGCCGAATAACAGATTTTATGTGCATACAGATGGAAAGCAACTATTCAGGGACTGAGTAAAACTTTTTTTTTTTTTCTGGAGATGGGTCTGAGCTGCAAACCCAAACTTTCCAGAAGTTTGTGAGCTGTTTAGATCTTTCCTGCCTCTCTGTTTGTCTTTTTACCTCTCCCTTTCAGTCTCTCCTCATGTTTCCACGTTTCTTCTAACACCTGCTGGGGCTTTAACATTGCAGCACACAATAGCAAGCTTCTTAGTGTTTGGACTGTACCAGCCATGGATTGGTGCCAAGCTTAATGTTGTTCACTAGATGGCTCTGAATCACATCGATCATTTCTTTCACTCAAATGGATCCTGTTTTTCCAAAATATGGAGGATTTTTTCTGTATGTGCTCAGTATTCTGTGTTCTTGGTAATCTGTATTTTGACTTCAGAGTTCATGAATAATAGATACTGAACATCAGCCAGATGGTACTGTTCCTTTAAGCCAGGAAAAACATACATTCTGACAATCTGGAAGGGGAGGGTTTTCTCTCCTTGGGCTTCTACCTCCCATTTATGACTTTTTGCATTTAGGAAGGCAGAATGTCATAAATAGTGTATCATTTAAAAAATCAATTTTAATATATACTTCCATTACTGCATTTTATCTTGAAACCTTGTTACAGGATCATTGTTTTTGTTTTTTAAAGCAAGAAAAACTAGAAATTTAGAAAACATATCAGATCTAAGTGTCACCTAGGAGCTTACAGATGTGAAAATCCACAGATTACTGGTAACTTTATTACTTAAAAGATGCCACTACTCAATTAGGGAAAGGGCTAGGGGAAGAAATCCAAGCTGTTTTGTAAAAATACATCCATCCCATGAAAAAAAGGAAAATAATTTTGATTTTGCTGCATACTGACAACAAGTTCTACTGATATTTATTAAGGAAGATGGAATAAAAGCAGCGTGGCATAGGGTTACAAATGGAGTGAGCCATAATTTATTAATGACCTGCAAAAATCAAATTGAGTTAGGTTTGGACAAAGAATTCCAACATAGTTCTGGAAGTCTCGTAATAAAGATTGCATGATTTTGTTAATACTTATGTTCTTATTTAATCATATAACATATCTCACATGTACATGCATAAGCACATACATATCTGTTCAAAGATTAAAAAAAACCCAACTAGATAAAACTTCTCAAGAAACATTAGCTCTGTTCTTGGGAGCAATTTTTTTATCCTCAGATGACACTTTGCTATTCTCTGTGCTGTCTTGTCACCACTTTCTATTCGTGCCTGATGAAAGTTGTAATGTCCTTTCTATTGTACGTTGCATAGCACTGTACAGCTTTGTACACTGTCATATACATGTCATGTTTTGTAATAATAAGAATTCTGCTGTGAAAAGACAGCTGTGAGTTATTTACTTTAGATAAATGTTTCTTTAAACTTAGAGAGTAGTGGACTTTTCAACCTATTACCAGATGCTTGAGGTCTATGATGGAATGAAACACTAAAACTTACTTGCATAGGTGACCTCTTAATACTTAAGTATGAGAGACATTTGAAATCTTATACTGTGTCTGTGCACAAAGCACCATTTTTAAAAGCCAGATGGGAACCCTCAATAAAATCAGCACATTTTTCAGAATTGAATTTGTCTCAATCTTACACCTTGGGGATATATAGAATCTAAACCACATTATTATTGATGATGATTATGTTGATTAAACATAATTTTGAACAAGTGCTATGAGGGAGGGATAAATAGCAGGTACTCTCAGGCACTCCCTGCAATAAAATTCTCCAGACTGTTGCTAAACCAGAGCATGGCACTTAGAACTGAAAAAAAGGAACTGTCACCATAGCTACTTCATTCTCTAAGGTTGTAGTGGAGTGATGCATGGAGGATTTTAGAGAGGTTGGTTCTTTATTGATATTCAAGTCACTGGCATTTAAGATGAGGACAACATCTTGAGTGCCAATGGTGTAACTCTGAACAAGTTTTCTTGCTTACACAAGTGTCAGTGAACATGAATATAAAGCAATAGAGACAACACAGTGTATGTATTTTTACTTAGTCTAAAAATGGATAGGAAGTCGATCAGAATAAGCCAGGCTTTCAAAAGGTTTACTCTGCAATTAAGTTTGGGGTTATTTGTACAAATAGACATAAACTTCCCATGGACAAATTAATACATGAGGAGCTTTAGATTTTTAATGTTGTTCTGCTGTAGAGTATGCAGTTGCTGAATGAGCATATAGTTTTATGCACATACATCTGAATTATACTACATGAATACAATGGAAGTTTTAAATGCAGTAGCTTAAGTTGAGGTACGTAGTTGAATTCTCAGCGGTACCAAACAATGGTGATTTGAGAAATATGCACTGAGCAATTTGCAAAGTGGGCCATTCATGGGATTAGATGAGCATTTCTAATGTTGAGAGTATTTGACCTTTTTTTGACGTGTCCATAAATTAAAAAAAATAATAATCTAGTGCTGTGAAAGATTTTCTCTAAACAAAAAATAAATTAATTCCCAGCTTCTGATGGGAATTTATGTAGCATTAATGATCCTATTGAATTAAGTGTTGCAGAAATGCCATTACAAAGCTTTTCTTCTGAAATATGCAAACACATCCACATTCATCAATTCTCTTTTCCAGACCTTTTACTAGTTTTAAATTATGAAATAATGTTCTTATACTGAGGGGAAAATCAGGAAATAAAATATTGCTACTTCTCTGTCAATAATACATAATAAAAATAATAATATCTGAGATTGTGCCTGTACAGGGGCCAGGATGCATCTAATTTCTGAATAAATTGATAGTGTGATACATAAACCTTAACTACTAGGGTCTGCAGATCTAAGTAAATACTAAGACAATATACCCAAGGTACATTTGATTTGATATTCTGTACACATAGCTTGTGACCTCTTGTGCTTGTAGCATCCTTTCACTTCTGTATTCTTCTAATGAAATTGATTTTTTACCTAAGTTGAAGTGGGGAACCAAGTTTTCTTGAATAAATTTCGGTCCTACAACAAGCATACAAAATGAATATTTGTGACTCTTAGGCAGTACACTTTTTCCCCTTTTTTCAGAACCTGATCATCTCCTGATTTTGTTTGTCTGTTTTTCTTATTTTTCAGTTATTTTACATGAATAGCATACAGTATAGAATTTGTCTTACACTTAGATACAATTACAATGGCAATTAGAATGCTAATAAATTGGTACTTACATACATATTAGTACTTTGCTTGAAAAATATACAGTCCATTTCACTTGGTTTATTTCTTTAGCACAGTGTCAGTGATTCCTCTCATATTTAGAATGAATTGTATTGTTGAAGAGACGAGGTCAGTGTCACATGAACAACACCTTGCTCTGCATCTGTCACAGCTGGTTTTGACACTCTAATGCCCTACCTGCTGCCTCTCCTTTCTGTCTAAGACAAGCTATGGCAATGCAAGGTGGGACATCAGGTATATCAATGGAGGCGTTTAGTGAATATAAACTATTTTTTCAATGTGGAGCATGTGTTACAAAAAGCAACAGAAATGAATGATTTAATGAATTGTGTGTAAGAATAAATTTAGGAAGCCTAACTGGGGTTTCCATTTGAAGCAAATGTCATTGACCTTTCCCTTTATCTCAAGAGGGTGAACTGAAAACTGCTGTCATTTTAAAATGCATTTTCAGAAATGTAAATCATACTCTTTAAACACATCTCCAGAGTAATCACAGTTGCTAAGTTAGTTAATTTCGGAAGTGTAGTATCTTAGAATAATCGAAAGTGCCATCTTTGTCAATTTGTTAGAAATATAGAAATCTGAGGCATAATTTGGAAAGACGTGATAAGTTTGATGTCACTGGGCATTTTCCCAAAGTCGTGCTGCATGAAGTCCTCAAGATTTGGCTGACATTAATTATCACACAGATTATATGCTCTTTCACTGCTTCTGCATATAATGTTAATTTACGCTTGATAGATACCATCCCCAATAGGGAGTGAAATATGACCTCAGAGGAGTTCCACAAGACACCTGTACTCCTGACAATCCCCTCCATGCCAGATGGGCACATCTGCTGCTACATATCTTAAAGGGATGATGTGATTTCCCTCCGCAGTTCCTCAGTAAAGCTGTCTGACTGCAGATCTGGGTGGAGCTAGGGAAATATTTATTTTGCTGTTGTGACTAATGCTGTTCTGATCACTGCTGTTATTTAAGTCCCTGGCATTTTGTCTCCGGTATTGTAACACGCTGAAGAATTTCCTTTAGACTGTTTTCTTACATGTTGCACTTTTTACACTCTTATTAAATTCTTATCTCCTTCTCTAATGTCTGTCTTGGCACTAAAAGGGTGTCCCTATTCTTAATTCAGTGCCCATGAGCATCTTGTGTTTTCTTCTGGAAGTCATTTATGCAGATCAAATCATATTAAAAAACATCTTACAACATAACCTGCTCTGTTCTCTTGCACTTAAAATGTCCTTGCAGCTCTACTTGGTCCGTGCTTGCCCTCTGCTACAAAATAAGAATTTCCAAAGAACTTTGTTCTGCTGTGCATGCGATTTGGGGGAATATGCAGGATTTATTGAATGGATATAATTAATATGCAGTGTAGTCACTTTCAGGGGGAGAGGGAAGAAGGAAATGTTTCAAGTGATCTGTGTAGCTTACTCACATCTTTTTTAGTTTAAAAATTTCACATCATTCATAACTTCATTTCCAAATGCTTTACTGTTTAATAATTTCCATATGCCACATGCAACTTTCTGAAACTCTTCTGTAGACATTACCTAATTCGTTTTAAAATCATCTTGGAAACATTGAACTGAATTGTTCTGCATGCAGCACTTATAAATAAATTTGCTCAGAGCTTGCTTTTCTTTCCACTTTTCTCTCTAATCAGCTCAATATCTCTTGATTCGTGTGTTGTACTTTTCTGACAGAGCCTTATACAAATGTTAACAAATGTTACCTTATACAGTACTGAGAACAGGAACTTCTAAAATAATGATGAAGAATAATGTTAAGGGGATGGGAGTCATTATAAAGTGTCTCAGCAGGTCCTACTGCTGCTGCTGTTGAAATATTCTATGATAATATTATTTGCTACTTCTTTTGGTGTTTAATTTGAGGATTAAAGGTTCTGTCTTTGCAGACTGTAACAGAGAAGCACAAGCTAAATGTACCCGAAACAATGACTGAGGTCCTGGATGTTTCAGATGAAGAAGGTGAGCAACTTTGCTAAGCTTCTATTCCATATCACTTATGCCACCTGTAATATAGGTGTACGATAGCTGCTTAAGTACTTGGACATCTTCATTTAGCAGTGCTTGATGATCTTATGTAATAACTTTCTTTTTATGATGTAGTCATTATGGCATTTGAATAAGGAAGCCAAAAATCAACCCAAGCCAGAATCCTGTTTCATTTTCACAAAAACAAACAAACAAAAAACAACACCCTTACCATCTTATCTGAACCAAATCAGCAAATGAGAACATTTCTTGACATTTTAAAATTTAAATGTAATGCTCTTCTAAAGTTGAATTTGGCCTTCTCGTAAAGAGGAATTTAAGCAGTAAATATTTTGGCTCGCTGCCACTTATTTCAGATACATTTACCTAGGAGTTTTGTTTCATTGGAAACATGCATGTTAGAAGGTGCATAAGGTGGAAGGTGAGGAGTTTGTTCCCTAGACGGGAGCATTTGGCACACGCAAACACAGATGGATATGGCATGACATAAAGTAAGAACATACTAATAACTTGGCACTTTGATCCCGGACGTTGCTGTGTGCAGACAAGAGGCATATGTTGTATCGCTTAGCTAAGTTCCCAAAACTTTCTGTGAACTTCTGTAGGGACTGATAAAGTACTGTGGTTTTAAACAGAACAGAACTAAGGAAATAACTTAAAAATGTCCCTGATGAATGGCAGCTTACAAATTTTAATCACCATAAGATCTCATGAATGCACATCTTCTTGCAAAAAAAGTAATTCTAAGTTCTTTTTGATGATTAATATTATTAACTAATATAATAGTATCTTACGTATGACATTTCATTGTTACTATTACTGTTATTATTCTTTTGTATAAATAATTTGTAGAGTGACAATATTTCGAAAAATCTGAAGGTATTAGGAACACAAATTGAAGGTGTTGGTTGGTTGGTTCTGTTTCTTTTCTTCTTACAAAGAGCACAAATCTGCTTGTGCTTGTTCTAAATTGTACTGGACGTTAATGGCATTCATATACCTAAACTCCTCATATTATTCTGAGAATTATGCTGATTAGTGAGTTACATTCTTGAAAAAATACTGCTCCAGATAACGTTTACTTTTTTTTTTTTTAAAAATGCTTGCAAAACTTCAAGTGAAAGGAACTACGTATAATTTTTTTAATACTGAAGACCTGTAGCACCACATGCACTTTGATTTCATTTCCTCTCATACTTGTGAACCACTCTATAGCCATCTTAAATCTGGAAAGCATAGTGTGTTTTTCTGCTTCTGCAGAATTCGTATTTAGGGCATTCTTTTTTCTCAAGTGAATTTATATGTTGCACAGCCTTTAAACACTCTGATGATGAACGCTTCAGTGATGGGGATGTATATAATGGCACAGGTGTCATTAGCAGAAATTCATGGAGTAAGAATTACAAACTTTCTCTTTTTGTTTGACTTGGTGTGTTTGTTTTTTGTGCAACAAAATGTTGCTTAGTCTGGGTTCCTAACACTGCTCCTTTTTGTTACTTTTTAAAAACGTGTCTTGGTGTGTGTTTCCTGAAAGATGGGAGGAAGAAGAGAAACCAGAAAACCCAAGATTTATTACCTGTATTTTTAGTTAGTTGGCAGAAATTACTGTGGCCGTGCAGCATGACTAATGCTCTCCAGTGCTTTAAATTAACATTCTCTGCTTTCTGTTGCTCTGTGACACATACTGTTTGTCAATAGCCAGCTGATACCATAGAAGTACTTTGGCATGTTGCCTCTCGAGCCTGTGCTGAGCACTTGTACTGATGAGCACCTCTGTGATCCTGCTGTGGGTTGCCAGGCAGGTTTCCAGAGTTAAAGCTCTTCATGCCATTGTCCTTGTAAAAACAGTTTCTAGAGGCAAAACACCAAGGATGTTGCAAAAATTGGTAATGTGGATGGTATTTATCACAAGAGCATAAAATATCTGGGGGCTATTTGGAGAACTTCTTAAACAAAGAAGATGAACCTTTTAGTGATTACATAGTCTTTCTCAGAGGCTAGCAAAAGGTTTCTGTAATACTTGTTCTTGACAGCTCTCAAGTGGCACAACACATTCTGAAATAAATTAATATGACAGAATAAACCTGTCAGCTGTAATCATACAGTGATAAAGTTGAATGCAACAAGACTATTGAAGCAAATAAATATTTCAGATCCCGTTGTGGAACCTCTTAATCATGGGTGATAAGAATTCTGCATTTTGCCTGGGAAACAGTTGTTTTCTGTGGTTGGTATACTTTTACATTAGCAGTGCAGCATTCCTACTCCGAAAATCCAATCTTAGCATGAAATAAAGAACCATGTAGCCTATCAAACAGTTTGGCATGTAATTATTTTCACATATCACTTTCACATTTAGCACTTCGCATTGTTACTTGGAATTCTTTACCTTTTGCTGTACCTTAACAAGGTCTTCCCTTTTTCCCTTTGAACACAACAAGGTGATATTTTTATTTTAAAATTGCTTTAGATTTGATTTTTTTAAATTAGATTTTTTTTTTTTTTTAATGTTAAGTGTCAGAGTTAAGTACAGAAGCAGGTGTGCCTTGTTAAGAATACACACGTGCACATGTGGTTTTTTGCTGCTACTTTCAGTGTACTGTATTCAACCATGAAGAATGTTTATGGATAATCATACATTGTTATTTGCTTGACACTGCCCAGAGTCATAACAATGCAGATGTAAAACAATCAATGTTGGTGAAGATTGTGCCTGATCATGAAGGGAAAAAAAGAAAAAAAAAAAAAAAAAAAAAAAAAAAAAGAAAGAAGGAGAGGTTAAGAATATGGTTCTCCTCAAGAATTAGGACAGCAGTTCAGATTCTTACAGGTGTAGATGTTAAGTGATATGATTCCTGAAACCTGTGTCTGTGCCAGAAAAATTGCCTTGCATGGATACAGGGGTAAAGGAAAGAAATGTGCATTTTTATCACTGTATGTGGTTTTGTCATTTGTCTGTATTACTACAGTGTGCAGTTTCTTTAAAACTGTTGCCACAAAGGAAGTAATTTGTACTTGATGTGTACTTATAGCAATAAAGGACAATTGCTGCAAAATATCATTTAAAGTGTATTTGAGTGAAATCTGCAGATTTATTGAAAGTAAGCACATGCAGATGTTTCTGTTAGGACTGAGCCAGTGCAGACACACTGTGAAATCTAGGTTTACTTTTTTTTTCTTCATATGTTAATATTGTATTGAGGAGCATGTTGCTGCTTGTCTGTACTCACTTCTTGTATTACTTTAATGGCAAAAGAACTTCATGGACTACATGATTTACCTTTGTGATGCCCATCTGAGACAGAACAAGAAGTGTAGCTCTCCATTTGGAACTTGCAGTATTGACAAGTAAAATAGGTTATTGAAGAGCTCTTGTTTAAGTCTACCTGGATTTCCTTACCTCCAATTCAGTTTTCAATCCCATTAACTTCTAACAGCTTTGGTTTCACTGTCCCTTTGAGAATAAGTTCATAGGTGTAACCACACATTTCTACATCATCTTTTATGTCAGCACAAATATTTCAGCGTGTAGTTCTGACAAGCTACTTTTTTTTTGAACAGACTATTCTGCAGGCAGAATGGAGTAGAAAAGGTGAAATAGAAGGTGAGATACTATTGTAGCAATAACATGCCGGAGGAGGCAGTTCACACTGCACAGATCTTAATTGTGATCTTTCAATTGTGGAAAAGGTTTAGACAAGAATTGAGCAAGCTATCATGTGAAAATAATCAATGTAGTCTTAAAAATGAGATGGAATCTTAATAGCCAAATTTAAAGCATCCCTCTTAAGAGGAGTACTTGTCTGAAGGTTGGTAAAGATTTATCACAGTGCCTGGTTGAGACACAAAGTGTTGTGTTGTAACTTCGTATTTCTTGGAAAAATAAAACAACCTACAAGTAATAATCTTAAAAATAAGGTCAGTGAGACGTTAAATTTGTTAAAGTGTTCCTAACAATGGAAATAGCATCATGTCCTTAAATGATTTAAAAGATTAAATATAAGTGCGTACAGAAGTGACAAAAAAGGTTTTTTTTTCTTTTTTTTTTTCTTACATGGTATTGTTGACATTATTTATTTATAATATATTTTTTATCCTTCTACCTGAGCAAAAGGAACATTTCCTTATTTTTTAGCCTCTATGTACCAGATGTGCTAATGCAACAGCAAATTTGAGAATTGGTTGCCTTTTTTTGTCTGCCTCTTGTCAATGCAAAAGATTCTCAGTATGATAGTAAGGTGATCAGTTTTTCTCCTGTAGCTTTATTGATATTATTGCTAGGAGCTGTAAAGAAAAGAAAACACAACAAAGACTTATTTGGATTTGTCCATTTAAATCTTTCAGACAGAATATAGCTTTTTTTAGTATCTGGTATTGTCATTACAAAGGAATTAAACTTGCTTTTGTTAGGATAGAATCTGCTAAAGATTGCTCACTTGTCAACATTTTAGCAATGAAAAATTGGAGTTTGTGGGTAGGTTGCAAAAATGTTGGCAAGTTTTAAAGAAACTGGTATTCTTAATTTGCTTCGATGTTATTGACAGAAAATACAATTAACCAAATTAGCAGAGAAATCTGCAGGCGTGACCGAAAGTACAGACACATTTTTTTGTGCAAGGAAGGAATAATGCATGTGCATGACTGGAGGACAGTACTGTATTTACTTATAGATTCTGTTCTAAATCATTATTGTATGAGCAATGTTGAGCACTGAATTATTTTCTTCAGAGACTGAAGTTAGAGAAAGACCTACAATATATTCTTAATTGAAGTGTATCTTAATCAGCGTGTTAAAAATGGAAAATGTATTTTTGACTGGTATTTCCCATCTGATCTAAATATGTCTTTAAAGCTACTGGATGTTATTCCTACTCATCACTGACAGAAACCAGCTGCTTTTACATTTACATTAATCTTAATTAGCTAAATATTTTCCCAAGCAGAGTAATACTGCCCATTCTGTGCATAGCGGA